CTCTGCCCCACCACTGCCCTTTCCCTGGTGGGATGCCCTTCGGGACAGTACTGGAGTCTCAGCAGGCCCTAGGGAATTTGCTGCCCAGCCAGATCGCTTTACCTGCTGGGGGCAAGGGCCCCCAGGGAGCCTCTCAGGGCTCCTTGAACTCTCTAGATAAGGGACTTTGCAGCCGGCTGGTGTGTGCAGTTCAAAACACACCGCAGGGCTCAATGCTCCCCCCCTGCCAGCCGGCAACCGAGATAACAGCGGGTGCTGGGAGTGGGGTCAGTATCCGCAGCTTCTGCTCTGTGAGGTGTTTGTGTGGTGGCTGCTAGTGCTGCAAGCCTGAAGGCAGAGGGTGTCTAGAGCTGCCTCTCCTTTTGCCTGTGGAGAACTGAAGAGAACCAGGTGAAGCAGGTCAGAAATGTTGTCCAGGGACCCTCACTGTGTGGGGTGAGGGTGCGGCACAGGGTGCCTTGCAGGAGGTTTGTTTTTCATTGGCCAAGCTCTGGCAATGCAGAGGAGTTTGTAAACAGCAAGGCAAGGGAGAAGGCAGAAATACCCCCTTCCTGCTCCCCTGCTAAGCCCCCTCAGGATGCAGGCATGGGGCAGTGCTGGGGGAGCAGATGGCACCGCAAGGCTGTTTCCTGAGAGGCAGAAAGGAGTAGAATAATAGGAAGTGCTATCAGCTCACTGATGTAAACTGCTCGCAAAGCACTCTAAGAGTAGGAAACCTGCTGCAGGCCATTTGAGGGATGGGGGATTGGAGGAAGAGACTCCATAGCAGAAAAGCCAGTTGAAGCTTTTGTCTCTCTGTTCGCTCCACAAGAGCCTGAGCAGTTTCTTCCACCTTCTTTTGAGGGGCTTCTCAGAGCATCTGCAGAGGAAAAGTTAGAAAGCAAAGGGAAACAGCAACAAGTGGCTCGGGCCAAGCAATGTTCCCCTGAAGGAAAGGGAGGGTGAAGCAGCTGTCCATCACGTGTGGCCTCTGGTCATTCACAACTGCTCCAGCCCCCAGGGACTGGGAGGGGGGAACGATGTGACGTTTGTTTCTAAGAAGGGCTAGAGGGGAACTTCAGAGAAAAGCTGACTGCTGGATCTGCTGTGTGTCCTGAGTGTCTGTGCAGGGCAGGGTCTGTGGGCAAGGGAAGCTCCTGCCAAAGGGCCCCCAAGATTGGAGCAACACTTCATAGGGACTCTGGGCTCATAGTGCCCATACTGCTTCCCAAAAAGAATGCCAGCCAGCTTTCAGCCCCGTTTTTAAGGGAACTTGCTGGTCAAGAGAGGAGGTCCTTACATGGCTCTGTAATTAGTATGAAAACAGGAAGGACGGTGTAGGAGTCAGCAGTCAATTTTTGCAGTAAAAGGAGATCTCTGCATTGGTCCCATGTTTTTTCAACACGCTCGTGACCTGAAAAAGGGAATGAGCAATGAGATGTCAGGGCTTTGATGAGGTGATTGGATTACTCAGGTTCATGGGGACAAGTGCCAGCTAGGAAAGAGTACTGACAACAATTACAACACCAGGAAGTAGGCAGATGAAATTCAGTATAGATAAATATCAAGTGATAGACGAGGGAGGGAGAGAAAAGGCCCGAAATCCACAAACAAGACTGTGCTCTCAGCTGGCCACTCGCAGCAAGGCCTGGAGCTATTTCAGATGGCTTGGTGTGCGTAAAAACACAAATCGAATCATCTTTGTGAATGATAAAGCAGAAAGAAAGCAGGAAAGCCTTGTGCCACTCTTCAAATTGGTGTCTCACCCCTGCACAGTCCCTGTGTGCCCTGGCACCAGCATCTCTGGAAGAGTCGAGGGGAGCTGGGGAAAGTTTAGAGAACAGCAACAAGGAGGACTGAAGGCGTGGAGCCATGCCTGAATGACTAAGTGAGCTAGAATTTCTGTTTGGAAAATGTGCTGTTGGGTGGATACAATCCAGGTCTGTAAAGCCGCCACTCCAATGTTCATCCACCCTTTGATGTCGAGGGTGAGGGAGCCTTGGCTGAGGCCCTGCATCCAAGGGGAGCTGCTGCCCCCTCTCAGAAGCTCCCGAGTTAAAGGGGGAAGTCGTATTTCACAGAAGCGAAACCCGCCATGGACTGCAATGCGTGTGAACAGCATGTCCCTTGCAGCTTGGAGGCTGGGGAACAGCTGGGGAGTCGGGATGTGCGTGTGCCACTTTTACCTTTTCCTGGCATCTGCTTTTTCCTTTGATGGAGACCAGCCTTTGAGCCAGATCGGCCTCTGCTTTGACCCCCGGTACCTGCCTGCCCTTATTTTGGGAGGGTTTGCCTTTATCTCAGCACCGCGGTAATGGTGCACAGCTGCACACACTCATACTTCTTGTGAAATACAAGCATGTGCCTCACAGCTGGTGGCTGAAGGTGGAGGCGGGCAGGACGCTGCCCAGAAGGCTGGTTCCCTGGACCCCTGGCACAAGGTAGGAGGATTCATGGGCAGCGTGGTCAGAGTTCAGGCACGCACTTGAAATCTCATGAAATGGGCAGTCTTGGAGTGTTTCCCATCCTCCAGCAGCATAATGGGCATCAGAGCTTCATGTGATTTACATCCCTGTGCAGGGTTGTTCTGTCCCTTCAGGTAAACCTTGATGGGCCTCCAGATCACCCTTCCTGCCAGGAGGACTCCGGTGTGCCCAGTGGACAGGCAGACGTAGGGGATGGGGTGTAGGTTGGTGAGGCAACTGGCCCTGTCCCATCTTGGATGTACTTGGAGGAAGTACTGACCTTATGCCTGCAAAGTGATCCCCATACAAGTGGTGTCAGGAGGACATGAGGTGCTTGCCACTGAGTCTGCTGGCAACCTCTTGGCTAGGGACAACAAGGACACTGCTACACTTGGTGTTGTGTAAAGGGCTTTTCTTGAAAGAGCTGGTGTTTCTGGATATAAACCCATAGCATGCCTACATGGCACCATGGAATTGCTCTGGAGTGGGAAACCAAGCATGCACTGTGCTTGCCTTCAGTGAAGGCATCAGGAGCATGGGAAAAGGCACTGCATGGAAAGGGAGAGATGGGGAAGTGTCTGAAGCCAGCTGACAAATGTCTCCCTGCAGGTGTGGCTGTCCTGCAGTGCGGGTTTTTCCACAGAGGTTAGGCAATTTTGGTGACAGCTGGCCCTGCTGTCAGCTCCCAGGGCTTGGCTGGCAGTGGGACTGTGTGTGGCCCAATACCACAGGTGTCACTTAGCATCTGTCATGGTTTTTGCATGGCATGAATTGGCAATTAAAATTGTGCCATCTCTTTTTTGTACCTGCTCAGAGGTGCGAGCCTGTGATTTGTTAAAGCCACTCCTTGTGATCTTCCGCTTACACATCACTTTTGTGGGGATAAGACAGACTGCTCTGTGCCCAGGATCAAAAGAGATGTCCTTATGCCAAGGCCCCACATCGCTCCTCCTTTTTCCTGTCCCTTAGGATGTGCAGCCACCAAGCTGGTGGCTCAGCTAAACACCAACAGACTCCTCTGGGAGGTGGTTAGAGCTGTGCTGCGCCGGCTGGAGAGTTGGCTTCTATTCCCATGTCCGTCCCCCCCCCCCGTGGGAGCAGGGCTGCCACCTGTTGCTGGTGTTGGTTCATGTGACCTTTTCTGTTTTAGGGTTGTTTGTAACAGCCAGCGGCTGGAAGTGTTTCCTGCTGTAATGACTGCTGACCTGTGAACCCTTTGGCAGGCACTGTCTCTTTGTGGAAAAAATTAGGAGGCACTTAGCAAAGTGAGATAGAAAACAAACATAGCAGGCAGGAGAGTGCGGCTGGGCAGTGCCTGCCAAGGAGGCTGGGCTCCTGACATGGGGATGTGGGCACTCTCCAGGCGGAAGCAGGAGGTGGTGGGAAAGCAGCATGCAGGAATGCTCTGCCCCAACACCCTCCGGAGTCCTACTCTGGTCCCCCCCGCCCTCCTCCTCCTCAACGCCCCCAGCTCCTGCCATCTCCTCCATGGCACTCTTCCCTTCCTCCCTTCCCTGGACGCCTGGGCAGTGTGTGGTACCACACACTTGGGCTGTGTGCCAGCTGTGGTACCTGACACCTCTTCTCGTCTTCCACGGATGCCACTAGACCCATAGGGCTCCAGCCCGTGTGACTTGAGCCAGGACCTGACATTCTAAGAACAGGGGAGTGTGGAAGCAGGGGAACACGCTGCCTTCAAGTACTCTGAACACGGGGCTTGCGCTGTCTCTGTCCTCTCTCCCCAGGTATGTCTGTGGGGTCAGTCCCTGTCCCTGTTTCCTGGGACACTGATGTGACCTGGTGGGGGCTGGAAGAGGGGCAAGGGGCTTGTACAGGCAAGGAGCAGCATGTTGAGGGCTTGCTGGGAACCAGCTGGGGGAGCTGGGGTTCTCCTGCCCTGCCTCTTTTGGGTTGAGATCTGTTTGCTTGGAGACAAGCAGTGGCCCTGGTAGGGTTTCCATGTGCGATGTGGTGGCAGTTTTGCTTGCAGATTCCTCTGTTAATCCCAGGCTAGGGCTTGGGGTGTCTCTTCCCCAGAGGCACTGGCAGGCTGCCGCGAGGGGATTTTGGGATGTTTTCTCTGGAAGCCCGGATGGCTCACAAGGGCAAGGCAGGAGCTGTCATGCTCCCAAGCTGTCTGCATGAGAAGGGAGGGGAGTGGTGCTGCAGATGGCTCTGACATCAACAGGGTGGCACCTGTGGGGTTGGCAGGGCTCTCAATCCTGTGCAGGCGTACTGTCGTCCTGCTCTGGCTTTCCCGAGCAGCCAAGGGGCTTCCCAAATGCCTCTCCACATCCTGCCGGCTATGTTTTGGCTCCATCATAGCTCAGGCTCCCCAGCCTGCAGGACCGCACCGCGGGAGGAGGCGATCTGTGTCCGGTACCACACGGGCACCTGTGCCAGGGGACGGGCTGCGCTGCCTTCAGCGCATGCAGGGGCTGGCACGAACTACAGATCCCAGCATGCTGCTGGCTGCCTGCCTCCTCCTCCGCCCCACCTGGCAGGGCGCAGGCAGGGATGCTGCAGGCGGCGGCAGAGCAGGCGGCCGGCGGGCATGTCCCGGGAGGGCCGGGGACACAGCACCGGCAGCCCCACTGCAGGTGAAGCCCTGGGAGAAGTGCTGGAGCACCCCCTGCGGCGCCGCCCGGACTGGAAAAGAACAAGGCAGGCCTGCGGCTTCTCCAGGGCGGTTAATCCTGCTTTGCCCTGGGAAAGGCGGGTCTAGGGAGGGAAGGTCCCTTCTCTGGGCTCCGGAGACTGCATCTCTGGGGTTGTTTGCCGGGAGAGTGATGCCTGAGCAGTGCAGGGGCTCGGCAGGTGGTGATGGTGATGGGAAAAAGGAGTGGTGGGTGCCTGGGAGGGGACAGCAGTGCCAGGAACGCCCTTGGCTTTTCAAGGTGACCCAGGAAAGGGCTGTGAGAGCCCCAGGGAAGTGGAATTGAATGGAAATGGGGGATTTGCGTGGTTCTGGACAGAGAGGCTGCTGAATTAAATGTGTCTTTTGTGCTGCCAAGCCCCAGGCGTTCGAGAGAGGTGAGGAGGGCAGGGCAGGGGGGGCAGACACAGCCCACTGCGCACATGTTTCACGAACAGCTCCAGGATTGGGGACACAGAGCTGCAGGCTCACAAATCCTTTAAGAGCCTGCTGTGAGCAGCCGGCATGAGCAGCCTGGGCACCTCAGGAAAGCAGTTTCCTTTTCCCTCCTTTGGAGGGAAGGCTTGATGTGCCCAGCCAGCAGACTAAGGCTATGTATCACAGCCCCTTGGCTGAAGGACTCTGAGCCACAGGTTTCCAAAACTCCTGTGCTGTGCTCTCATCATTTGCTAGGTTGGTATTTGGCTCCCAGTACTGTGGAGCACTTAGCTGGCAAGATGGATTGGGGTTAAAACCAGTACTGCCCCTACCTGGCTCGTGTCCCTCACTCTCCCATAAAATCTTCTCTTTGCTTTCCAGACGGAGAGCAGCAACAAGACTTGCTGGGACCTGTGCTGACGCTTGCCACACAAGATGACAGCAAGGGACGGGCCCCAAGATAGGTAATGCCGGGTTCTGATGTAAGGTGTGGGGGCACATCCAGGATACTAGGAGGCGAGGGAGGACAAGGAGACCCAGCATCTGGGGGGATGACCACTCCTGCATGCTCACTGGGCTACCAAGCTGTCCCTTCTCTCTCAGCTTTTCCATAGCAAATAGCCTGTAAACAGTCCCTTGTGCCGGGACACGCCTGGGGAGCCTGACTCCCTCCCGCATCTGGTGATGTCTGCTGTGTATCTGGGTGCCACATGCTAAGGAGCAGCCAGACTCCCTCTGCCTTTGTACCGTGTTGGGAAGGGCCTCCCACAGCCCCTCTGCAGTGCTACATCTCCTCCAGCAGCCCAGGCTAGCAGGAGCTGTGGGGCAGGGGAATAAATATCATCCTCCCTCCTCATCCTGATGACTCCCGCTGTGGGGCTAGGGACAGTCAGAAGCGATGCCTGTCCACTACCCTGCCCAGCATTTCCCTCCAAACTGCTCTGTCCCCTCCACAGGTACAAGGCTGTCTGGCTGATCTTCTTCATCCTCGGCCTGGGAACACTGCTGCCATGGAATTTCTTTATGACCGCCAGGGAGGTGAGGGCTTCCCTCTGTTGTCCATGATACTAATTGTCCCCTGTCATGTTGAAGGACCATGGTATAGGTGTGTCAACAAGGCACAGCGTAGAGCTTCTGTGTTGGCATGCAGGGGATACAAGCATGTGTGACCTGGGTGGGACAAGTGGCACTGAGGCGGCAGAAGGGATGAGCGTGGGTCCGGAGGAAGGATAAGGGTGGTCTGCGTGTGCTAGGGGGAGGCCTCGCAGAACCTCAGCCTCACCAGGCTCCTTCCCTTGCAGTACTTCATCAGCCGCCTTAAGGACCAGGAGGAGATGAGCCATGTCAGGAACCAGACCTCCCAACCCTCCTACCTGGAGTCCATGTTTGACAACTTCATGACTCTCTGCGCCATGGTGCCCCTCCTCATCTTCACCTGCCTCAACTCCTTCATCCACCAGCGGTGAGCCTTGCCCTGTCCTTGCCCCTGCCAGCCCCCATAGGGCTTCCCAGCCCTGGCCTGTCCTCCTGCCCCAGCACTGAGCCAAGCCGCAGCCTGTTCAGTCAGGTCAAAGGCAAAACACCCATCTCCTGTCGTAAGGTTTGGCTGCAATTCCTACAGGAGAGCTTGGTCTCAGCCTCACAGGCTTTTGCAGGGGTGGGTTTTCCTGACTGATACCCTCTTTTGCAGGATTCCCCAGCAGATTCGCATCTCAGGCAGCCTGGTGGCCATTGGGCTGGTGTTTTTAGTCACAGCAATCATGGTGAAGGTCCCCATGGACCCTCTTCCCTTCTTTGTCTTTACCATGATCAGCATCGTCTTCATCAACTGTGAGTGGAGCAGGGGGGAAGGAAGGGGGCACAGCCCCATGGCTAGGGTTGATCCCTCTGGGAGGAAAGCATGAACCTCAGTGTGGGAGAGCCAAAGAGAAGGGGGGCTTGCCTTGCCTCACAGGGCAGGGGCCTTGGCTCCCCACAGAGATGTGGTCCGTCCTTGCCATTGGTTTCTCATTTCTGCTTATCGTTTCCCTTCACAGCCTTTGGCGCTATTCTCCAGGGCAGCCTCTTTGGACTGGCAGGGCTCCTGCCTGCCAGCTACACAGCCCCCATCATGAGTGGGCAGGGCTTGGCGGGCACCTTTGCTGCTTTGGCGATGATCTTCAGTATTGCCAGTGAGTAATCCCTGCCCTGCAGGTGACAGGGCCTTCCCAGAGGACTGCTGTCACAGGATTTGCTGAGGTCATGCTGCAGGATTTCGTGGGAGATGACAGCAGGGCCTTGCTCCTCTCAGCCCTCATCATCTTTTTCCTTTTTCTCCCATCCCTCTCTTCCCGTGCCTTCAGTTGGTGCCCAGCAACCCGAGAGCTTCATCGGTTACTTCACCACGGCCTGTGTGGCGATCGTGCTGGCAATCTTCTCCTACATCATTCTGCCTCGCATGGTGAGACTGTTGTCCTGGTGGGGAAGGATGTGGGGACATGGGACCTTTGCACATCCCAGCACAAGAACTGTGGCCCGCTAGTACCCCACCTGTGGCTCCTACCAGCCTCTACCTCCTGTAGAGGCTGGCAGCCCCTGGGAGCCTTGTTTCCGCATGCGTGAATGAGTCCTCCGTGCTGTCTCTCTCCAGGATTTCTTCCGATACTACTCCATGAAGGACAAGACAGAGTACCGTGTGTACAATGCGGAGCTGGAGACCAAGAGAGACCTGATTAAGAAAGGTGAGGGGCTGAGAGGAGGAAGAGAAAGGAAAAAGAGGAAGAGCTGAAAGAAAGAATGAGACAGAAGGACTGAATTAGATCTCAGTCTGCTAAGCGCTATTTGTGTCTCTCCCTGCAGATGAGAATGGGATGGAGCAGAATAACTCAAAGGTCATCCCTATCCACAACCCTGATGAGAAGCCCTCTGTCGTTGCTATTTTTAAGAAGGTCTGTGTGTTGCCAGCAAGCCTTGCCCTGCCCTTCTTTTCAGAATGGGCAAAGGTGTAGGAGAGCATGGGGATAGGAGACCAGCCCAGCACTGGTCCCTTGCCCTGTGTTTGGTACCAGCATCTTTCTTTTATCTGCCCAGCTCTGGGTCATGGCTCTGTCTGTCTGCTTCGTCTTCACTGTCACCATCGGCGTCTTTCCTGCCATCACAGCTAAGGTGTCCACTGTCCTCGGAAAGGGAAACACATGGGGTAAGTGTGCCAGGGATGGGGTGAGATAGGAGAAAGCTGGAAACAAACTAAATGGGAGAAAAGAAAGTGGGGCTTGAAGTAGCAGGTATGTGTGGTGGGGTGACCCTGGCTGGATGCCAGGTGCCCACCGAGGCCACTCCAACACTCCCCTTCACAGCTGGACAGGTAGAGAAAATATGATGAAAGGCTCCTGGGTCAAGATAAGGACAGTGAGAGATCACTCACCGATTACTGTCACAGGAAAAACAGATTCACCTTGGGGAAAATTAATTTAATTTATTACCAATCAAATCAGAGCAGGATAATGAAAAATAAAACCTAAATCTTAAAATGCCTTCTACCCTTCCCTCCCTTCTTCCCAGGCTTAACTATATGCACAATTTCTTTGCCTTTTGCCCCTGCAACAGTGCAGGGAAACGGAATGAGGATTGTGGTCAGTTCACCACACATTTTCTCTGCTGCTGCTTCCTCCTCAGGGGAAGGACACCTCCCACTCTTTCCCTGCTCCACTGTGGGGACCCTCCCATGGGAGACAGTCCTTCATGAATTCCGATGTGAGTCTTTCCCATGGGCCACAGTTCTTCATGAACTGCTCCAGCTTGAGTCCTTTCCATGGGGTGCAGTCCTTCAGGAACAGACCGCTCCAGTGTGGGTCCCCTGTAGGGCCACAAGTCCTGCCAGCAAATCTGCTTCAGCATGGGGTCTTCCACAGGCTGTAGGTGGATATCTGCTCCTCTATGGACCTCCATGGACTGCAGGGGGACAGCCTGCCTCACCGTGGTCTTCACCAAGGGCTGCACGGAAATTTCTGCTCTGATGTCTGGCTTCTCCCCCTCCTTTTCCACGGGCCTTGGTGTCTGCAGAGCTGTTTCGCTCACATATTCTCACTTCTCTCTCAAGCTGCAATTGCACATGTTGAGGTTTTTTTCCCCTTCTTAAGTATGTTACCCCACAGGCACTACCACTGTTACTGATGGGCTTGGCCTTGGCCAGCAGTGGGTCCATTTTGGAGCCAGCTGGCATTGGCTCTGTGAGACATGGGAGAAGTTTCTGGCAGCTTCTCACAGAAGTTGCCCTTGTAGCTCCACTGCTACCAAAACCTTGCCACCTTGCCACACAAACCCAATACAGTATGCCTGAAGGGAAGAGGAAACCACTGTGCATGATGGTTTGGATGCGGACACCAGCCTAGCTGCGAGACCATTGCAGACTTTAGTGGGAAACGGGGAGAACCTAGACCTGAAAGACAGTCTCTGTGCAATTGGCATGAGGGGCTGGGGCATGCTGGGCTCATCACTGCCCTTCTCCCCTTTCTGCAGGTCTCTACTTCATTCCTGTCTCCTGCTTCCTTCTCTTTAATGTCTTTGACTGGACGGGACGGAGTCTCACTGCCCTCTTCACATGGGTAAGTGTGGGGCAGGGAGCAAATGCCCAGGCAGTCTTCATCCCCAAGTCCCTCAGCCAGGGCCCTCACTGGGGCTGCCACCTGTGCCTTGGAGCAGGAAGGAGGTGCAGAGCTGACTCCCACTTTAAGTCCTAAGCAGAGATTTATGGGTCAGAGCTGATAACCACAGTGTTGTTCTGTCCTCCCACCTCTCTTTCAGCATGGCTTGGATGAAGCTGCCTCCTCTATTTCAGCCTCTTTGTAAACAAACCTTCACTCCAGCTATGCAAACAGCGAGACAGGACGGCGACGGGGAAGAGGGTGAAAGACAGGGCAGCCCAAAATAAAACCTCTGGCCTCAGCATAGGACACAGCTGCTTCAAAGACCCTTGTCCTGGGAGCAGGGCAGAGCCATGCCATACGGGTCACAGAGCTGTCCCCTGCCACATCCCCTTGCTTTCATCTCCCCAGGCTGGGTGAGGAAGGGGGCTGTCCTGTCTGGGTCTTTTCCTGCCCCTTCACCCACTCTCCAAGCACCATTTCCCCCGTATTGTTCAGGCTGTTTGTTTAGAGAAGGTCTTCAGGACCATGTGCCATAGGGTCTGCCCAGGCCTGACTTCCCTGCAGCCTGGAGCTGTTTCTCCCCTGGCCATCACTGCTGGCTGCCCTTGGCCTTGGCCATGAGCCGCTTTGCCTGGTGTCCAGGCCGCAGCCTCTGTGGTGGGATGATCCAGCAGGAGATGTTTCCAAAACAAGTGTGTGGAAAATCTGACTGCATGTGGTTCGGGCCTCATTTCCCTGGTTGGGGCCCCGCTCGCTCCTTTTCTCCTCCTCAAACAGGAGAGGCAGCTGTTGTCACCATTTTGCCCCATAGGCATGGCAGCTGGCCTAACCTCAGCTTCCTCCTGTGCTCATGAAGTGTCCTGTGGCCACGCCAGCCCAGCAGCTTCCAAAGCAGCTGGAGGGTCTCTCCTGACCTCAGGCCAGTGAGCCCTGCGACCAGCGAGCCTGTCTCGTGCCAGGGGCTGCCTTGGTCCCAGCTGCAGGGACAACACAGGGGGATGGTGTCTCCTTATTTGTCCCAGTCTCAGTTGTCCAGGAACTCTGGTAGGATCCAAGGAGACTAAATTGGTCTATGAGTTTCCCACCACATTCCAAAACAGCCCCAGCATAATCCCTTTCCCAGATTGCTGGATCTTGCCCCGCTTGGCTGGGGGATGGCATAGGAGGCTGAAGAGCTGGTTAAAGCCCAGTTTGCAGGCACGACGGTGCCAGAAGGGACTTACCTCAGCCAGCCTTGCACGGTGGTTCACTGCATGAGCGTGCACAAGGCTCTCCTGCCTGTGTGCCCATTGCTAGCAAGGGCTTAGCAGTCACCCACAGACCCAGCTCAGTATTTTAGCCCTAGTGCTGCTGCTCTTCAAGTTGTCTGGGACAGGGCTTTCAGACCAGGCAGGACCTCCTTGCCACAGCAGGTGGTGATGCTCAGACTTCTTGTAGCAGAGAAAGTCTCTCAGCAACTTTTCCATCTCAGTGGCTCCTTTGCAGCCCTGGCACAGTAGGGACAGCCTCTGTATAGCTCCTGCTGGCATGCCATGGTATGGGGAATGCCCACTCCTCAGCTGCTCAGCTACCTGTGTTTTTCTCCCAGCCCGGGAAGGACAGCTGCCTCCTGCCAGTGATGGTGGTCCTCCGTGTCATCTTTGTCCCTCTTTTCATGCTGTGCAACGTGCAACCCCGTTACTACCTGCCTGTGGTGTTCTCTCATGACGCCTGGTACATCATCTTCATGATCTTCTTCTCCATCTCCAATGGCTACCTGGCCAGCCTCTGCATGTGCTTCGGGCCCAAGTGAGTAGGCGCTGGGGATGAGGGAAGGGTTGGTTACACCCCCAGATGACAGTCCGGCATGACTCCTGGAGTCTAGCTCTGCCCAGCTCTGGCATCTGCAGAAGGGGCCACAGGCACAGAAGGGAATTGGCACTACCCCTAGCGTCCCATCTCCCAGGATTGTGCCTCTGTATTCTAGGGATGAGGAAGCTATTTGGGCTCTCCGTTTTCCCCACTTGCCATGCAGGGGAAGGGACTGGATGCAGCAGGGATCTGGAGGGGAGCAAAGTGTGGCATAGCACCCACAGCAGGGTGAGCAGCCTTGCCCAGCACAGGTGGCATGAGGAGCCCAGCTGGGGCTCAGCCAGGCAGGATGCAGTGCACAGTGGCAGGAGTTGGAGAGGGTTATCCCTGGTGCTGGGAGCTTCAGGGTTGCCTGCCTGATGCACTTTTTCTGTATGAGTCTGCAGTGTGGAGACAGGCTCTTGGAGCCAAGGTGGATTTGCTTTTGGTGTTCCTCTACTGCAGAGGAGCCTCCCATCTCCACTGAACAGCAGGGCATGGGGCACACATCCTGAGGATGGATCTGACACCTGTTTCTCCCCTAGGAAAGTGCTTGTGCATGAAGCAGAGACAGCTGGAGCTGTCATGGCCTTTTTCCTGTCGCTGGGCTTGGCCCTAGGAGCCGCAGTCTCCTTTCTGTTTCGAATTCTCATCTAGCAGAGGCACACAGAGGATGCAGGGACACCAAGAGATGGCTCCGCATCCTCCTCCGAGGCCCTGGACACCTCAGCACTGTGGGAAAATAACACCTCATGCCTGTCCCTGCCAAATCACACTGCCACAGCAGACGTTACACCAGGGATGGTTCCACTCCTGCAGGGTTGGCCTGGCTCCTGCCACGCTCGGCTGTGTGACGCCTTCAGGCCTACGTGCCTTCTCCTTCCCCATGCTGTGTGTGTCGTAAGACCCCCAGGATCTCAGAGAGGTCCAGCTGCCTCCCACACTGCATAACTTCCCCAGCTCAAGGCCAGAAGCCATTTTCAGCCTCTTCCTCTCTGACAGAATGGAAGGCTGGTATCCAGTGTTATTCCTTCTCTTGCCCCTGTCCCCAGTGCAGCTAGAGACTTGCTCTCCTCTCCTCTCTTCCAGGGGGCCTGCAAATATCCCACACCCCTTCTCCTGCTGGTAAGACTTGTGAATAGGGAGGAGACCCCCAGCCAGCCTCACTATCCCTGCTCTCTGCTAGACGCACATCCCTCTGTGAAGTGGTATCCCAGGGGCATAGACATCTGTGTCCTGCCCACATAAAGACCCAATACCGTGGCCAGGCTGAGGGAGGAGGAGGTCTCCACACCCCACCTTCTCCCACTGTCCTTGCCTCTATTCCCTTTTGTGGTTTGGTTTTTTTTTTTTTTTTTGTGATTCTGCCATTGTTTTTCAGCCTCCTGGTTGTATGACAGGAGGTCCCACTGTGGGCTGCAAGAAGAGGCAGCAATTCCCTTCCCACCAAGGCTGCAGGGGGGGGGGGCTCACATCTCCCTTGGCTTTCCTGTCCCTTGTCTGTGTAAATGTGTCTGTACAGTTGCCGTTTTCTATAAAAAGACCAAAACGTTCCTTTGGGGGTGTGTGTGTCTCCATTGCCACAGGGGAGAGGGGCTGTGGAGGTGCAAGGGCTGAAGGGAGCAGGCACCAGCATTTCCTGGGCATCCTAGGGTGCTGTGTAGCCAGAATCAGATGTGGAAGTGTTGTGTGCATCCCTTGCACAGTCAGGACCAGCTGCAAGGACACAGTGTGGGGGATCATTGAACCATGGAATCATAGAACAGTTTGGGTTGGAAGGGACCTTAAAGAGAGCATGAAGTTCCAACCCCCTGCCTTGGGCAGGGACACCTTTCACTAGGCCAGGTTGCTCAGAGCTCCATCCAGCCTGGCCTTCAACACCTCAAGGAATGAGGCATGCACAACTTCCCTGAGCAACCTGTTCCAGCGCCTCGCCACACTCAGTAAAGAATTTTTTTCTCAATATTTAATATAAACCTACTCTCTTTTAGTTTTAATCCATTCCCCCTTGTCCTGTCACTTCATGTCCTTATAAAAAGTCCTTCTCCATCTTTCTTGTAGGTTTCTTTCAACTATTGGAAGGCCACAATTAGGTCACCCTGAAGCCACCTCTTCTCCAGGCTGAACAATTCCAATTCTCTCAGCCTTTCCTTGTAGGAGAGGTGCTCCATCCCTCTAATCATATTGGTGGCCCTCCTCTGGACTCACTCCAACAGGTCCATGTCCTTACTGTGCAGGGACCCCAGAGATGAATGCAGCACTCCAGGTAGGGTCTCATGAGAGAGCAGAGGGGCAGCATCACCTTCCTCAACCTGCTGGCCACACTGCTTTTGATGCAGGCCAGGACACAATTGGGTTTCTGGGCTGCAAGTGCACATTACTAGCTTATGTCCAGCCTCTTATCCCCAGGGATGCTGCCCTCAGGGTACACCGAGGGACCACCAGCACCTCTGATAAGGAGGAGATTCACCTGCACATTTTGGGGTGCTATGACCTGCAGCACACCCACCTGGGAGCTTTCCTTGTGCCTGGGAACAGCCAGAGTGCCACCTCCTGATCCTGGCGGGGAACTACAAGAGCCTGCCAGCGGGACTCCCCCCTCCCTCTGGCCCACATCATTCACAGCCATCACCTCCTCGGCATCCCCAGGCATCAGAAACTGGGGCTCGGGCACCCTGATCCCACTTCCAGCTTCCTTTGCTAATCAGGCCTGTGTGCCCACAGCCTCAACATAGAATCACAGGACTGGAAGGTAACAGGTTGGGTCAGGTTGGAAGGGAACACAGTGGGTCACCTGGTCCAACCAACCTCCCTGCTCAAGCAGGGTCATCCTAGAGCACATGGCACAGGATTGCGTTGAGATGGTTCTTGAATATTTCCAGTGAGGGAGACTCCCCAACCCTCTGGGCAATCTGTGCCCTTGCTCAGTCACCTGCACAGTAAAGAAGTTCCTCCTCATGTTCAGTGCAACTTCCTGTGCATCAGTTTCTGCCCATTGCCCCTCGTCCTATTGCTCAGTACCACCGAGCAGAGCCTGGATCCCTCCTCTTGGCACCCTCCTTTCAGATATTTATACGCACATTGATGAGGTCCCCTGTCACTCATTTCTTCTCGAACTGAGCAGGCCCATCTCGCTCAGCCTTTCCTCACAAGAGATGTTCCAGTCCCCTCATCATCTTTGTTGCCCTCCACCGGACCTGCTCCAGCAACTCCATGTCTCTCTTTTACCAAGAAGCCCAGAACTGAATACAGCACTCCAGATACAGGGATGATAAGACTTATCTTACTGCTTCCCTTAGACCCTGGAAGTACAGCCTATCCAAACTGGTTTGCAATGCGGACACGGACCTGCCAGGCGCTCCATTCCTGACACTTCCCGTCCCGTCCCTTCTCATCCTCTGTGCTCCAGTGCATCCCGCCTCAGGACAGCTGAGCTGCACGGCCCGCGACCTCATGGGGAGCTGCAGGAAGCAGCTGGGGCGCTGCAGCCCCCCGGTTCTCTGCCCCAGGCCCGGATCCGGGAAGGCGCCGCCGCCAACACCTCCGTGACCTCTGCGGACTTAGCACCGAACACTGCGTTCCTCCGCGGCGGGGCGCGGAAAAGAGTCCCTCGCCGGGGCGCTCGGAGGGCCGAGGACCGCGGCACCGGGACCCTCCGAGCGCCGCGGAGAGAGACAGAGGGGTGCTACGACCCAGAGGCAGCATGGCGGCAGTATGAAGCTGAGCACTGCGCGCCCGCCCCCACCATGGCCGCCGCTAAACGGCAACGCCAATGCCTCCCATACACCATTTATCTGCGGCGCGCTGACCAAGGCCCCTTTAAGGCGGAAAGATATGGCGTGCGGTGAGGCATTCCTCTCCGTGCTTATAAAAGACGGCCGGTGGAGGGGCAGGTTTTTCACCCGTCCCTCAGGCCTCAGACGGTAAGGGCAGAGCGGCGGGTGGGGTGGGCCCGGGGCCCCCGCCTCCCTACTCCCAGTGCTAATGGCCTGAACATGGGCTGTGTTTGCCTTGTAGATGCCCGAAAAAGTGCAGCACGATGAGGAGGATGCGGAGACCTTCGCCTTCCAGGCGGAGATCGCCCAGCTCATGTCGCTTATCATCAACACCTTCTATTCCAACAAGGAGATCTTCCTGCGGGAGCTCATCTCCAACGCCTCTGACGTGAGCCCAGGCGGGGGGTGGGCTCCTTCCTCTGCGGGGGGCCCGGGTTGCGGACTGGTGTCCTGCTGGGGGCGCCCAGAGAGAGGCCGTGGCCTGGGTGTCCTGGGAGGCCGTGGTGATGATCTCCCTCTCCCCTAGGCCCTGGATAAGATTCGCTATGAGAGCCTGACCGACCCCTCAAAACTGGACAGCGGGAAGGATCTTAAGATTGACATCATCCCCAATCCCCGGGACCGAACGCTCACCCTGGTGGACACTGGCATTGGGATGACAAAAGCGGATCTGATCAACAACTTGGGCACTATTGCCAAATCCGGGACCAAAGCCTTCATGGAAGCCCTGCAGGTGGGTTGCGTTTGACTGCATGGGTTTCCTGGGGCCTGGGACACGGGCTTGCACTAGTGTACAAATACTAATTAATAAATAAATAATAAAAAGGCTTTGCTGCCTTGTTTGCTGTGGGAGCTGTTTGCCTGCCCCAGTATGCTTCCCCACCTTTCCAGCAGCAGGGAGGAGCTAAGGGTAGGGCTGGCTGCCTGTTGGCGCTTGCCTGTTTTTCTCTGTGTGCTGACCCAGTTCTTTGCTGGTGTGAATCAGTTGCGGACATTTTCCATCTCTTCGCTGGTCTTATCAGTTACTCTCTGCTTTCACAGGCTGGTGCAGACATCTCCATGATTGGGCAGTTCGGTGTGGGCTTCTATTCTGCCTATCTGGTGGCAGAGAAGGTGGTAGTCATTACCAAACACAATGATGATGAGCAGTATGCTTGGGAGTCATCAGCTGGGGGCTCCTTCACTGTCCAAACTGACCACGGTACGTATTGTACAAAAAAACAAATACATTTTTCTGCTAGAAGCACCCCTTTTTCTGGTGCTCCATAGAGCTGTGCTGCATTGTCAGTCACACTAGTTAATCCTAGGTATCCTGTAGTGTTTAGGCTTGAGGAGCTGGTCGCAGTTGCTCTCTGCCCTTTAATGCCATGCCCTGAAATCCTGATGTTTCTCTCCTCTCCCTGCAGGTGAACCCATTGGACGTGGCACCAAAGTGATCCTGTACTTGAAGGAGGACCAGACTGAGTACTTGGAGGAGCGTCGTGTCAAAGAAGTGGTGAAGAAGCACTCCCAGTTCATTGGCTACCCCATCACGCTCTATGTACGTAAGGAAAGGACAGTGGGGACCCACTGGAAAGCTGGAGGCAGGGGTGGGTGATGTTAAGAGCAGGAACACAGAGAAGGCCCAGAGCATGATCTCTTCCATTCCTTTCCATAGTTCTTGGCTGCTGGGTACTGAGCAGTGGTGCTCCCAGTTTCTTTTGAGGCTGGGGTTTATTGGACATGAAGGGTGTCCAGCTACGATTTTGACCTTTGAGCTGTACAGCTGGAGGTCATCTAAACCAGCCACAGAGGAAGGAGGGTTTCCTGCTGCTTGTCTCATTCTCTCAGGCACAGCTTTTGGTTGTATGAGGAGGGATTCTGAGGGCTGGTTCCAAGAGAAGCTTTGGCCACATGTTGCCGTTGTTAGGCTTTGGAGGACACCCATTTTTCTCATCTGGAGAAAAATGAATTCTGGTAAGAGTTGCTTGGGCCTAACCTATTTCTTGTACCTTTCTCCACAGCTGGAGAAGGAGCGTGAGAAAGAGATCAGTGATGATGAGGCAGAGGAGGAGAAAGACAAGAAGGAAGAGGAGGAGTCAGTGTCCAAAGATGAGGAGAAACCCAAAATTGAGGATGTGGGCTCTGATGATGAGGAGGAGGGAGACAAAGGCAAGAAGAAGACCAAGAAAATCAAGGAGAAGTATATTGACCAGGAGGAGCTGAACAAGACCAAACCAATTTGGACCCGCAACCCTGATGACATCACCCAGGAGGAGTATGGCGAGTTCTACAAAAGCCTCACCAATGATTGGGAGGACCACTTGGCTGTCAAGGTGGGGACTTGACTACCCTGCCTTCTGGGGAAAGACAGAGAGTCCCTTTCTAGCCCATATCGAGAGCCTCATGTGCCACACGTGGTTGTGCCTCATTGGGACTGAGGGATCCCAGGCCACTTGGTGGTGTGGCAGTCTGCACTGTGACTCCCATGCAGTTGGAGGGGTTGGCAGTGCCGATTTGTAAGCAGGACAGGAGGGTGTTGGGCCTCAGAAGCATGACTCCTCTGTCCAAGCCTGCTGGATGCCAGAGAATCTTGGCACCTAGGGGACAGTGAGGCTGAGGAGGGGGAAATCCAGGTTGCTTGGATGCTGGAGACCCTGCTGTGCACCTGTGCCAGCCCCAGTGCTGAGGAGCCTCCCTACAGTGGGTATTGGGGGAAGGGATAGAAGTGAAGCACCCCAGCAGCTGTTTCTTTCCTGGTTCCACAGCACTTCTCCGTGGAAGGGCAGCTGGAGTTCA